GTGAGTACATGCATGTAGTGCGAACCAGCAATCGTATTCATCTATGATGTTTTTCACTGACCGTCCTCTGTTGGTTCTCGGCAGCTTTTGGCTGGTCTCAAGAAGGATGTTGAGGCTAACAACTGAAATACCGGTACAAGAAATGACCATCCGGTGGCCTGAGTTATTCATGTATGATTGAGCTGTATAATAATGATCAACTTCAGCACTCCCTTTGTTGACACTTGGCACCGTCACGCAATGACAAGCACCCCGTAGATCGTGAGCCTGAGGCTGAGGCTGAGCCTTCAACTTTTAAAAATTTAGAAAGTACATTCTAAAGATTGAACAAATCTCTCAAAAGTGTATCCAAAGCTTCTTCTTGTTGTCCCCAGCATAATTGAAGCTACAATGTACTGTTCGCTTGTGACGCTTGTGTGGTTGGGCGAGCAATTGCAAGGACGGCCAAGGAGCTACCATTGCTTCCTCTCGCACTGGTCCGGTTCCACGACAGGCGTGTGACGTGGAAACCCCAGTTTTCTGTGGGCGAAAGATTCCTGTCACAGCTCTCGCCTCCATCGAAGATCTAATCTGAGGGGTAGAAGAGACCATGGCCAGCCATATCTTTGTACGCAGCTATAGATGTTGTCATTACAGCGGCCATGGATATGAACAGGGGAAAGATTTGAAAGTCCCCAAATGCCTCCCATGCTACCGGTACCGGTAGCAGCAACCGATTCGTTTCATGCTGGATTCTTGCATTTGCTAGCATTCCCCTCAAAGTCAACTCCAGCGTTTCCCTCACTGCAGCTTGATGAAGAGCTCATTGCGCTTTCCCCGTCTTGTGGTGATTTTGAGTCTGTTTTGCTTATTCTTGCCACCACCACCAGCAAGACCTCGCCTTTTCCTCCATTCCTCCGACTTGGATGGTAGTGTTCGACACTGCTTCTGAACATGGCCCAAATGATGGCGCACATCGTTCCGGTTTTTGCGCTCGCCAATGATTTTGCATAGCTCTGGCAAACTGACTTCACGACCCTCCTGTTCAACCAAGGCACGCCAAATTCGAACCCGTATGGTATCTTCTGAATCATCATTACTACTAAGAGTAGTTCGGTCATTGGATCTCTTCAACAACATCAATGACGGCCTACCGGTAGTGAACGACAACCCCTTTGCTTGCGACAAATGCACGAAAAACGGTACAGCGGAAGCATCGACGAAAGCATGCGATTCGAGAAGGAGCAACAGTAGTTTCAGCAAGAAGAGTAGATGTGACGGCCTCATCCCATTGGCTTGCGATGGTGGCAGCAGCTGATTCGATTCGATTCGATCAACGCACACACTTTGGCTCAAGGTGATCCCGTCGCAGATACATACAACGAGAGGATCGACCATAGTAATTGCCTGTCCGAGCTCACAAAAATGTCACCATTTAGAGTTCATTTTTGGACTAATAATATAAAAAGATAATTTGGAGTCTGTACCGGTAGTGAAATGAATCAAAATTATAAAATAGATCCTTTTGTTCTTTTTGTGGATGCTTTTCTACCAAAATACAAAGCGAGGCCCGCGACTCCCCATCGCCAAAGTCTTCGATCTGTTCCAATCGATCGATCCAATCGCATGCTTGATTGGCAACGGTGATACCAGTACCACCAGCACGAGGGCATCCACCTTTGTCAGTTGCTCGGATCTGTTCCCAACAATATCATCATACTGTTCCCAAGCACAAAGGCCCCATGACTTTGCAAGACGATACACCAAAATGGGTAGACTCGGAGGCCGCCGAAGCCAATGATCCCACTTGCAGCTCCAGCGTAGATACGGAGGCGGTGAAACCAGTACCTCCCGCTGCCGACGACGAAGACTTCGAGGTTACTTCGAGTTCCTTCCAAGCTATCAGAACCCTCACTCTCTGTGCCAGGTTCTGGAGATGGGTTTCCGTTGCTGTGAATTTGATGTTTGGAATCTTGTCCCTCGTAGCGTCGTCAATGATGCTCTTTGCGGGCTTGACGCACGAGATCTCGGGGGCCCACAAGATGCAAGGAGAAGCAGGTGTTGTCATTGCATTCATCTTGTTATTGATTGCTTCAGGGTCGGGAATCTATGGTGCCTTGAAGTTCCGTTCATGCTTTGTCGTCGTGCCGCTTCTTGCTTACGTTTCATTTTCCGGCATTGGCCTTGTCACGCATAATTGGGCGGATTTTGTTTTGTACCTGCTCTTTGCCATTCCACAAGTCATGCTCATTCGAGAGATACGAAGGGGGGTTTATGCGGATGGGGGCCAGTTGGAACAGCTAGTCTAGTCTAGCCTAGACGAAACAAGGCAAAACTAATCTCAAACTAGCAATAAGTGTGTGGTCGTTGCAAGGAGAGCGTCTTCCCTGGCACTACCTTCACAACAATGTACATAAATCTCTCTAATGAAGTGGTGCCGTCCCCGTTCAAATGCTACAGTTCTATACTAGTAGTCCCATTCAGCAACACCTGGTTCTTGTTCATTGGCTATGAGGACGGCAGATTCCTGGGCTTGCCTAAAGCCAACTCCGAAGAGGTGCAAGTCAGCAAGTACACCAGCCTTCGCCTCTGCTTTGTGAAGCAAGAACTTCGTCTCGTATATCCTCTCAGTCCATCCCTTTTGCTTATCGAGTCGGGCTATTCGACCGGAGCGGCCCTCGGCTGCTACCCTACCGCTCTCTGTATCTATCTAGAGCTAGCGACTCGGCAGAAAGTGCAAGGGGCAAGTTTTCTCTTGTTGGGCGAGCACAATGTTTCCCCAACAAAGAGCCACAACAGCACTTATAATCTCAATTGCCTGCATCAACACAAGTTGTTCTTGCTGCTGTTCGTAAAGTGTATGCAGGCGCCAAGATTCTTTTCTAATACAGTACAGTACGATACGATACAGAAACACCAATGCTACACCACAAATACAGTACATCTTATTAAGTAATTTGTCACTCGTCATCTTCCACATATTACCACACCCGCCACAAAGATGCTTTTGATGAAACAAAAACCAAACAAAAAAGGTTCCAACAAGATCTAACATTCGAAAATTTGTCCTCCTCCGCCACTCGGGGGCGTGGGAAAAGCCCTTAACTGAGGAGGTTGTTGTAGTGGCGACGGGGCCTGCATCATACTATTCGTTTGTTGTTGACCATGATGAGGTGACATGACAAGTTGCTGTTGTGCTACTTGTTGCTGCAGCAGTTGTTCTGCGTGTTGTTGCTGTTGAAGCTGCTGTTGTAATTGTTGCTGTTGAAGCTGCTGTTGCAGTTGCTGTACTTGCTGCTGGAGTTGTTGGTGTTGTACTTGCTGCTGAAGTTGTTGTGCCTGCTGCTGTTGCTGCTGAAGTTGCAATCCCATGGAATTGAAATCACTGGATAAGAGCTGTTCCTGCTGCACCGGCATACCTCCAGCAGTGAAAGACCGTCCACTGGTATCATCCACTTCTTCGGCCCAATAATTGGAGGCGGCACTTGCTGTGGATGCACTGACCCTTCGTTCTCGATGCAGTCCTGGACTGTTTTGTGATACATGTATCTGATTTTGATGATTTTGTTGTGGGTTGTATCCTCCCGCCATGGTGGCTAAGTTCTTTGCCGTGAGTGCAACTTGTTGTCCGTTGTTGTTTTCGTTGTTGCTGTATGCTTGCTGCTTATGATTGACAGCATCTGGAAAGGCCAAAACTGGCATGGCACCACCAATATTCACGGGGACGCCACCACCAGTACTACCAATACTGCTACGGCCGCTGCCATCATTTTCAAATGCTGCCGCCATTCGTAGCGCATCGAGATCATCGGTGAGCTCTCCCAGCAAGTTAAGGTTGAGCCCTGCCGCCCAATCTTCATCGTCACCGTCGACCCACGTTCCACCAAAATGGTTATAACCGGACGATGTGGATGCCGAGTCGGCTCCCGACCAATAACTGGACGCATTGGATCCATAACTGGAGGTGCTGGTCCGTCGACGTGCTTGAAAGTCTCCAGGTAAGCCAGCGGTTGCACATACGACATCATCATCATTGTAGCCCAGAGCGGCATTTTGTACGATGGTACCCTTGGCGGAGAGCATGTCAATGCCCTGCATTCCGCCAAATCCCATGTTGATGTCCATGTTTGGTTCTTGTTCTGGGTTGGGCTCTTGAAAGTACGAAGAGGCACTGGCTCTTCGCACCACACCACGTGCAGATCGTGATCCCCAGGGATTGACGGCATTTGCCATGGCAGCATTGCTGTTGAGGAGATTGACATTAGTTTGCTTGGGATTGGGTTTGGCGTATACCATGTCGGTGAGATCTGGTTCGTTGATTGCAGCACTTTGGGTGGTCATGGGAGAAGGAGCTGCATACGGGTTTGCTGCTGTCAGACTGTTGGCTTGCTGTTGTTGTTGTTGCTGCATTGCCAAGACCGCTTCCATGTTAGTAGCAGGCAGAGTACTAGTAGTGTCCCAACTGCTGGTGGTGGTAACGGGCATGACATTGCCCATGGAATTGCGTCGATGTCGTCTTGACTTTCCGAGTGCTCCTGGATCGAATCCTTGCATGAGTATTTGCTGTGGCATGATATTGGTGGGTATACCAGTACTACTAATACCAGCGGTACTACCAGTATTGGCTGGCTGTGGTTGCGTACCGGTAGGTCCATGGGAGGATGTGTGGGAATGCGCTGTTCCAGTAGATCCCATGGATCCTCTACGTTCCTTGTTGCTCAATCGTCTTGCCATTCGTTTGGCCTTGCGGTTGGTTTTCTTGATGTCTTTGCTGGACTTGTATTTGTGCTTGAGACAGTCTCGTAGTGCCTGCGACGTTTTCTCGCGTCCAGCTCCGTCTTCAGCACGGTAGAACTGCCCTGTAGCTTCGTCTTGACGAATGAAACCTCCCTTTTCGTCGATTTCACGAACAATCTTTTGCACAATCTCCGATTTCGCTTGCTTCGTATCAGCACGAGCATAATCGTTGATGCGGCCTGCTACCACGTGCAAAAAGTACTGATTCCCCACATGGCCATACGACCTATAGAAGACAAAACAAAAACACAAGTAAGTGTGAATAACCTATAGATAGGTTTTCAAGGAGGGTATATACCCATATACCCATGGGTAGCATTGCCTTAACCACCAGATAATGGCTTTATCTAGGAGATAACACACATACACATACACATACACCCACATGTGCTATAGCTACACTTCTAGTAGAACTTACTTCTTTCCTCGACCGCAAATCACGAAATTCTTAGACGGAACAAAATCGTCGGCAAAGTACTGACGCCGTGGGGGGCCTACAGCGCTCATCCTACGGTATCAACACAACTCTAGCTAGCTACCAGCTAGCTAGATAATCAGATCTGATGGATAGATAGATAGATCAATGGTACTACTAGGTATGGATATAGAGCATCAATGAAGCAACGAAGCAATGAAGCAACGAAGGATACAAGATCGTTACTGCAATGGAGAAAAGTGGAATTTTGGCTGCTGCTGCTTTGGAATTGGGATTCTTGCAATGACGTTTAAAGATTTTTACGATCTATTCACGGGACTCTAAAAGAAAAACATGGAAAGAACCAAGGAACGAATGACAGCTGCTTTCACACAATAAAGCATTAAAGGTCATATGTCGGAGACGTACATCGAAATGTTAAATCCGCAAAAGATTCATTGTCGCTCAATGACGTGGTGAAAAGTACTGCATTCTTGTCTTTGAGTTAGTGTTTTGAGAGTACCACGCGCCAACTCACAGCCAGCGAGGCACGGAAGATTCGATTCGATTCGGATCTGATTCGATTCGATTCGATTCGATTCTACGATGTGGTGGTCCGCGCAAGCATCTAGCTAGCTAATAGCTGGCTTCCAAGTTAGTTGGCACCTGAAGATTCGATTCGCTCTGGCTAGCTAGCTAGTCTAGACTAAATGGAGACGACATGTAGACTACCATTGTCCCTCGATCTGAACACTGAACATCCTGATGGAAACCTGTGGGGGTTTTATGCAGCTCACCACGAATGTACCCAATCAACTTGGAGGACATTGTTTCTGGGAAGGTCCGCGCCGGACGCCGGATCCATCATCCAGGTAGGAGATTCTGATTCGATTCGCCGTCTTTTATCGTCCAGACCTCTGACGAACCAGCCAAGTCGTCCGGTATCGTAGCAGGATCATGACGGCACACTAGAAATGACGGTACTAGCTAGTATGCCCAATGAGTGAATCGTACCACCGTACAGGTACTGGAAGAATGGCTGTGAATCGATGCAGCTATCCTTGATTCTTCACCCAGAGTGACAGTGGTGCCGTGTCATTGCTCTGCACCAGCCCAAGCTCTATCGATGAGCTTGTGCGTTCTTCCTAGTTCTAGCAGCTGTCCTAGCTAGCTGGCTAGTGAAACGATGTCAATTTACAGACAGCCTGCGTTGCCATTTAGCTCGACTCGACTCGGCTCGACTTCTCAACTCCTCCCAGAGTCAGCCACGGTCCCCAAGCTATGTAGTCCTGGTGACTGAGGACTTTCTCGCAGTTGGATGGTTGAGAATCTGGTATTGGACTGGTCCTATCCGTTGCTGGACTTCGTGTTGTGGGCTGTGGTGATGCTGATCAAACGAGACCATGCACGAAGCGCAGTACGTGACAGACAAGCCAGCTACTACCAGTAGTTAGCTTGGCTGTTTGTTTGCCAGTTGCTTCGTTACAATAGGCGGCGAGTCCATGGCTAGTAGGTGTATTGAATTTTGTGCAGGTATAATCTATAAGAATTTGAGTTAAATCTATGTGTAAGCTTCTGGCTGAGTGCATGGTTCCCCCCCGTGGATGGATGATGATCCTGCCTATTGGCTGTATTGCTTCTAGGCAGCTGGTGCCAAGCAAAGCAGTGCATTGAGATCTGGAGCATCCATGTACGTAAAGACACTGGTAAAGAAGAGTTCAAAGTCTTTGTCAGACACACTGGTGTGGGCATCACACGGCATGGCGGTTTCCATGTCCATGAGTTCGCACATCATTTGCATGCAATGACGCGTCTCCAAAAAGTCGAGTGTGTGGGAGCTGATGAATCCCAAGTTATTGAGGAGTGCCAACAAGAGAGAACGTTGTGCTTCTAGATCGGCAGCACTCCAGGAGGAATCTGCCACTTCGAGAGCAGACTTGTACAAATGACGGGCATTCTGGAGGGACTTGAGGTATTCCGGCCGACCATTCTTGTGGAGCTGAGCTGCCTCCATGTGGTGCGCCAATGCCAAGTTGTACAAGAGCACGGACAGGTAGACATAGCAAGTAGTACTGGAGTCTGCCTTGCTGCTATCCTCGTTAGTATCATCACAGTCCATGACAAAGGCACGGGGATACAAGGAAAACAAGTTATTCTGGCACTCCCAAATCTTTTGGGTGGCTTCGTCTTCGTCTTCTTCTTCTTCGTCTTGAGGGAGTAGAGGAACACTGCGGATGCCAGCAGTGACGACTTGTGGGTCTTCTTGGTGGTCCATCATCATCTCTTGATCAGAAGAATCCCCATTGGTACCAGTAGTAGCATCAGCAGCAATCTTGACCAAGTTGGCTCGGACACAAGTGAGTTCATTCTTGATGATCAGCATGCAGTTTCTCACGTCTCCACTTTGCAGGCGAGAGACAGCACGGGTGTTCCAGCATTGGAGGGCACCATTGTTAAAACCAAGCATACTAGTACCGGTACCGGTGGGGGTAGTACTCATAGAAGTAGAGGTAGCAGCAGCAGTAGAAACACTCATGGTGGATGGTGAAGATAGTTGAAAACAGGTAGAAGGTACTAGTAGAAGGTAGCTAATGGCGGTTAGCTAGCTTAAAGCAGAATCTTGCTTGCTGATGGATTTGTATGATTGCTAGATTGGTTTTTATGAGAGAAACAAAAGTGATGGGGAACCATCAATCGAATCGAGAATGCAAGGCGCTCTGGCCAGTGGCTAGAGATACAGCCCACAGCCCACTGGTGTTGATACCGCTAGTACAAGTACATCTGGTCGTTCTCCAGCTGAAAGGCGGCATGGCATTCGAACCATCCAAGTACTAGCTAGTACCGGTACGATCCAACAATGCCAGGCAGCAGGCCAGAAATCCTCCTGCCTTCTGCCATTGATCAGAGAATACTAGCTGGTCTACTAGTAGAGATTCTCTTTTTTGGCAGCTCACTGAGTGACTCGACTCGACTCTCGACTACTCCAGCAGGGAGTACGAATGCATAAGCCAAATCAGTACCACAGAACGACCCCGCACAGCTAATTTAGTCTAGCTAGTAGTAGCTCTTGCCTGCTGTACTGGTGGGGAGACTTGTTGCTTGTTCTTGGAATACTGGTACCGGGAAGCGGTAAATCACGGAAGCTAAAGGATCAGGCTGGGATCTGACTTTCCGCCAGGTTTGCCACCACGTCAGACGAGAGAGATCTTGTTTCCATTCGCCACACGTGTTGGTGCCACAAAGAATTATTCGTTTCTGATCATGGACGTCCCTAGAAGCAGGAATCTAATTGATGCAGTCTCAGCGAGTATTAGGATTTAAATCATTCAAGACTACTATTTCTTAGGCCTCGATACTGGCCATTTCACAATGATGTCATTAATTTTCACATACATCATCAAAGCGACATAGCGACATCACGCATGATTCTGGATTTTGACGAGCACTTGGAAACCATCCATGCGCCACCTCAGTCCATACTGGCACTTTGCAAGTCTTTCTGATTCTTTTCCCTGTTCGTTTTCGTTGACACAGAAACAGGAGAACTCGATCGAACAGCTGTCGAACACACACAATGTCATGGCGCCACAACGTTGCTCCGTGGTGCTGCCGCGTGGTGCGTACCAGAGCATCATTTGTTTGGATTTAGTTTTCCTGCTTGGGAAACAAGATGCTGGTTACTCAGTACGGTACTCTACACGGTAGGTCTCTCGTGCACATGTCAGACAAAGCCTCACTCTGGACTGGTTCATTCTGCGATCGAAAACGGAGGAAGGAGCCAACTTCCAAACTTCCTACCTCTTGCAAATTGCAAGAACAACGAGACCACAGAGGCTCGTAAACTGTAAAATGTAAAAGGCAGGACATACCTGATCATAGACCATAGACCAAAGCAGCTTGCAAAAGGACATTGCTGATCCTTGTTGAGATCCAACCCACTTGCTCTGTCGGCTGTCGGAGTAAAAGACTGCATGGTTAGAAACAGCTCTGAGCTGGCAATGCACAATGCAGAGCAAGAAGACCATCGTTGCCACAGGGATGCTGAAACTGCTTTGCAGAAGGCAAAAGGTTTCATGTTGGGCGGCCTACAGAAGCTGAACTGGGCTTGCCATCTTCCTTCCTAAGACTTTCCTAAGTAGATCTACCAGGTACTTGCATGTACCGGTACGACCAAAAGGCCATGATAAGCTACTTGATACTAGCTCTAGTACATGTACTCGAGTACTGTATTTCGTTATTTATTTGTTGGAAACAGCTTTGGAAACTGGAAACTATTGATTCCGTCTGCTCTTTGAGTGGCCCGTATTGAATTTGATGTATTACACCACTCGGTACGCAGCTACGCAGCTACTACTCAGAGTACTCCTGATTCGATTCAGCTGTACCACCAACCTTGATCTCAGATTCTCAACCAAAGCAAAAGCAACCAAGAATTAACGTTCCATTGAACTTAGTTCCCCTCCAACGAAACCTTCCTTGAAAAGATGCACACAAGATTTTTTAATCAAACCACGGGCTTTGTGGCGTTGTGGGATGAAGAGCTGATGAAGAGCTGTTGGAGCCGACGAAGGATGAGAATCGTTGTCTCAAGCTCTACAGCTAGCTACTGGTAGCTACCAGTAGACTAGTACCGGTAGTCTACCATTGTAATAGTGTCTGAGCGCACCAATACTATGGAGTAGTCTAAACTATTAGGCACCGTGGAGTGGGTGAATGCATCTGCTGGCTGGCAACAAAACAGGTGTTCTTTGGGTAGCCTGCCTGTGGTGACGTCCTTTTGGATCATTTGGATTCTTTTGCTTTGTTCTTTGCATGAAACAAATCCTGATCCGGAACTCTGAGCAGTGTGATAGCGAGCTAATAGCCCCTGCAAACATTCTATCATGACCGAGGTGCGAAGCATCCAAAACTACTCAAGTATTCTGGAAGCTGAGAGCCATCGAGCCTAATGCCCAAAATCCATTGGTGGCAGGCGGGACAGTCCTTTACAGGTTAGAGAAAGAAGCCAAGAAGCCAGTTGCAAGTTGCAAGACGTGTCTGAGAAAAATAAGCCCAAAGAAAGATACTACTCAGGTGATGAGTAGCCTTGGCCTAAAAAGACCCTTCAAAGATGAACAACAAGAGCGACAAGTGCTGTTAGGCTGTTAGGTAAACAAGGCGTGATGTCTGTAGCCATGCCACCAATTCCTATATCCACAGTTGCCTTGAGGTTCTTGCTGGGTCCGAAACTGCAAGCTGCATCGTGTTTCTTGTCAAAGGTAAGCCTTGCTTCAACTTTCAACTGCATTCGGCGATGCTGGGTCATAGCTACCCAGAACCTATGTCCTGATGGTTGATGATCTTTGGTGAAAGTCAATCAAGGCTTAGAGCAGCCGACCGTGGTTCGTTTGAGTTGCCTATGACCATGCATGACATTCAACAACCGAAAGAAAGACAAGACTCTGCAAAGAGAGGCAGCAACAGAATAATATATATAAATATTTAATCCAAGAGTAGACTAGCTACCGATATCTGGACAGGCGGCAACCAAAAACCAAACCGCAGCAACGACTGTAGCGTTTTGGTCTAATCCTACTTGCCAACATCGGCCAGTGGGATTGAATGTGAGCCCTTGTGTGGCCTAAAAGTTCGGAAAAGCAGATTAGCCACGTTGAGACTACCTGGTAGAGCTGGCAAGACCGTCCAAAACAACCCAGAATTTGGTCTGGGGACGGAGGAAGCGGAGGAGGCGGCGGAAGCGTCCCAGACAAAACAGCGGCAAAAGATTACTCGAGTCATCACCTTTGCCGCCGATGATCCACACACACTGAACACTCGAGCACTCGGTAAGGGCAGGAGAAGAACGAAATTGGGATATAAGGTCGTAGCAAGATCACCAAGGAGCAATCAAGAACTTTCTTGCCACTGAGTACATGCGCACGTACTCTTGACAATTCCAATTGCAATGACCTGTAAAACCATTAACGATAGTGAGGTTGCGGTACTGCTTTTGTGCGTCATAATTCAACGTCAAATGCCTAAATTCACCATTTGTAGAGGTGCATTGGCCATTAAAGCATAGTCATTGATGTGCATCTTGTAAATGAAGACTGCTTTCCTTCGACATCAAAACTGTATGGATATCCTATACTATATCTACGATGAAGGTTCCAAAGGACTGGCTTTCTGTGCCCTCGGATCATCGAGGCAGTTCATGGGTGAGTTAAGTTGGAGTTAGATTTAATTACTAAAAGTTGGAGATCCCAGTGAGCGTGGACACAATCAACTGCCCTCTGGTTTACTGTGCATGATTTTGTACTCTGAAATCAATCATCCTTCCAACCAAACTACCACTGTTCGGTACGGAAATTTGGTTCCAAACTTTTTTGACCATTGATGTCGTTAATGGTTAAGATAGATGATTTCGCTTACAACTTGGGTGGGGTGCTCGACTTTCGGTCGGCTTTGGATGCTTGATGCAGACTGACGAGCGGAAGGCAGGTGTTGCCTATTGCCAGCCTTTCCGAAAAGGCGCTTTTCCATCTATCCAGTCACAGTCACAGTCACCGTAGTCCCAGTTTTGGTGGCAACAGCAAAAAAGTCATAAAGGATAAAGGGCTCCAGAACGGTGCCGTTTGCTGACCGTCACTCTTCCTTCTTCCAGCAAGGTCCGGAAACCCCCATGATGTTTTGAAATTTTTCAAACAGTTTTAGTTTCTCATTTTTAGTTTTAGTTTCTCATTTTTAGTTTCTCAATTTGAGAAACTAACAGTTTTAGTTTCTCATTTGATAAAATAGTTTCTCATTTCTGGCAGAAATCACAACACATGTACTAGCAGTTTCATATATAGTTTCTCATTTCAAAAGATAGTTTCTCATTTCAACCAAATGAGAAACTAACTTTCTCATTTCAGAACTTAGTTTCTCAAATGAGAAACTACTTTCTCATTTGAGAAACTGTCAAAAAAGGATTGCAGTCTGGTTCCCGACCTTGCAGGTGGACTGTCTCCGCTGGTGGCTGCTGCACATCTTTGTCTCACAATTTTAGTTTCTTCAACACAAAAATCAGAAGCGTTCAAAGTTCTTTGCAGGCGTTGTCATCGTCCCGTTCTATTCCTTTTTCAGCTCTTTGCAGCTCTGCATCCTACGGCCTACGGTACCCTAACAGCCCTAACAGTGCTACTAGATACCCAACCTATCATCAGCACTACCAAGCTACCTTATCCAACCAACTAAACCAACTAAACCAACTACCAGCTACTAAGCAACCAACTAATCAAGCTAGCCAACTAGCCAAGTAAGTAAGTAAGCAAACAAGCAAGATGACCCCCTCTGCAGTTCCTTCACCAGCATCACCAGCTCCAGCCACAGACTTTCGACGCAGTAGCTACATGCCCGATGACTGGGTTCCCTCCAGGCACGATGTGATTATTGGGCGTGGTAAGAAGGTGCATGCTCATGCTGGCAACCAAAAGCTGCGTACCATTGTGGAGACTGAAGTTCAGGCGTACTCCAACGCCAAGAATCGTGCTGCCAAGACCAAGATCATCGTACGAGTCTTCAAGGCCATTCGAGCGGACAGTCAGATTGGATTTGTCAAGAAGGATCCAGCCACAAAAAAGTTCTTTGCTGTCGAAGATACCACTGCCAAGATCACCATTGCACAGTACTTTCGAGATGTGCTTGCAGACAAGGGAGGCTACAAGTCCAGCAAGGCATACAAGCAGCGTCTCAGAGATGCACTCAAGCGCAGCGTTTCCGATATTGCCGGACATGCTGGGGATGACTCGGAGACCTTTTTGGAGGCTTGCACTCGCACGAGCTTGAGGCGGTGTCAGTCCGCCGGACAACCTCAAGCCACGACGCCTCCTCTGGCAGTGGACGGGGACAGCATGAGGATGTTTCAGGATGACTCGGATATCGTGCCCCAAGGAGGACGCCGTCGCGTGGTCCAAAACATCCTCAAGTCAGCTTCCAACTTGCTCGACAGCTCGGAACAAGATGATGACCTGCATCCTTCGATGGCTTTCAGCAACACCATTCCTTGGTCAGCCATGGCGGGGGAGATCGAAGAGACCAACATTCGCACCAACAAGGACATGTTCTTCCCCTCCGAGACTGCTGAAGTCAAGATCCCCGCCTCCAAGAACGATGTCTTCTCGTCACTCTACGATGCCTTTGGCTCCGACACAGCTGTGACGACCAATCCCTTCGAGCCAACGCCCATCCTGGACACTAACTGCAGCAGCAGCAAGATGATGGACCTGGACACGATTGTTCCTCAAAAGCCAACTTCTTCTTTGTCGACTTTCGCCTCATCAGACCCCTTCAAGTTGGAAGATCTTGCTGTCTTTGGGGCGTCTCACAAACTCGTCTAAACGGAGACATCACGGAATGATTCGATCGAATCCAGCTACAGTGTATCTACATCAGTGCCACCCTAGCAAGGGAGCACTGACCGACTGATTCGCTGATTCAGTCCTCATGGTTGCTTGCTGCGCCATGTCTTGCACAAACGCACCTTCCTATATATATATATATGATCTGCATAGAACGATAATTAACTTACACTAGAGTCCCAATGATCAAACACGATTTCGTGTAGCACATAGTACTAGAAACAAGGCGGACAACCATGCAATGGTGCATCCTCCGCAGCTTTCAAAATGTAGCCGTTCCTTTAGAATGTAAGGTTATGATATCAAGCTATATAGCTAGTTCGGTTCTGCCAAGGCAGCGCTCAGCCTTCATTCAGTTTCGAACATTCACTGCGTGGGCTGATCCGCCATGGATGCATCCACAGGCATGCTGCTACAAGGGAAACCAGCACTGCAAGAGCTAGAGTGATGTCTCCTGTACTTTTTATGAATACGTATCACTATGCATTATACCGGTACTGTAGCTTGCTGCTAGGCTTGCTTTTTATGCAGGCGTTCTAGAAGAGAGCATTCATTGCTTCCCTGCCTCCTAGCCAAGCGCTCTTGGCGGTCGTGGTGACTTCAGTTGAGCTCAGCCTTGACTGGCGGCCACCGCCGCTGCTTCTTCTGACGCCATTGTATCGCTCTTTTTAGCAGTTCCTTCACCTTTCGTCTTCTTCTTCTTCTTATCACACGGATCTTGCATCCACTCCTTGCCCAAAATCTCTTGGGACAAGTACTCGGGCGACGAAACCGCCACACTGTTGCTGGCCATGAAGTAGCGTCGCATCCACTCGGCGGCCTTGCGCGAGATTCGCATGAGTTCGGCTCGCAAAACGTCATTTTCGGGAGCACAAATATCCATCTTGAGAGACTCATCGACGTTTCGATCTTTGCCCGGACGAACATGCGGCACGGGAGGCAAGGGTTGTTGCAATCCCAAAAAGTCTTGCAGATCGTACCGAAACTGTGCTGCACGCGTTTCGTTGCTGTCGCTCATTTGGGAAGTGTCCAGAAAGAAGATTGGGTTGGGCAACCCCGGTGTGGGTGGTGGCCAGTACTGTTCCAGTTCGTCTTCTTGGAGGAATCCTTGGAGTAGCTCTAATTCTTGTGGTGTGTTGAGCGGTGTTTTCCCGAGCAGGCTGAGAATGGCATGGAACTCTCCCTTGCCAGTGTGGGCGTAGGCCGTGTTCTTGTGCGGACCTCCAATGAGCGATGTGTGACGCAAGAACTTTTGAGAACGTCCCATTTCATTGACTAGAAAGTTGTAGAGACTTTGGAACCATAAGACCGGATGCCGCACGGTAATGATGAGTTTGGTTTGTGGCCAGTACTTTTGAATGTATGCCATGGATTCGGGGCGTCGTACGTCGCTTGGGTTTTTGAATCCCTGAAGAGAGTTCGTTGTGCTGGTGCTGTTGTTGCTAGTGCTATTTTGTTGCTGCTGTGAGAGTAGAGTTTTCTCTTTCATTTGATGCAGTTTCTGAACCATCAATGCCGGCCTCTTGCGTGGGAGATGGAGTGCTTCTTTGGGAATGGTGTTTATTTCAGGATGATCATCGAGCCAGTTGATGAGCGCCGTAGTCCCACACTTGCCGAATCCTACAATGGCAAAGTCCAACAGAAACTGAACATCACCCGTAATGTCCTCGTTCAAGTCACCAATCAAAGAGTCCAATGGAGGCAAACTTTCAAGTTGCTGATCTTTACTTTTCTTACCGCTGATCAGACTCGACTGCTTCTCCTTCCTCTTGTTCTTCTTCTTTCGTCCCTGTTGCTTGATGTGCTTCTCTTCCTGATTATCATTTCTCTTGGCAACACTAGTACTGCCACTGCCAGTGTTAGGGACAATGTCACTGACAGCGTGAGTGTGAGTGTCAGTGTCAGTGCCTGCAGCCGCAGTAGCAAATTCAGGGGTATCTGCGGTGCCTTGCAAAGATGTCTCCGATTGATCCGAACGGGTGCCAATTGAAGCATCGATACTGATAGCGGTATCATCAGCGAGAGGTTGCTTTCTAGTAGCCACTGCCAAGTCCTGTTCGGCGGATAGTTTGCGTGGTCCCCGGTACCATTGGACGTAGCTGGTAGTAGGATTCTGAAGCAATCCCGCCACCACGATCAAAGCTAGACAAGATCGAATGATTGTCTTCATCGTTCCAGCTGGGGCTGCCGATGATGCATTATTGCTAGTGATAGATCTGGAAGAAGATGGAGGGACAGTCATGGTACGCTACTCTTGTGTTGCTTCATTCTTTGCTTGCAATGTTGGATTTGCCATGTTTTGGTCTCACGTGCGTTGTTTGGGTTGTGTGCAAAATTTCCAATGCGATCTGCGCACCACGCGATATCGCGCACCTCTGCTGGCGATAGCGTGTTGAAAAGGTGTGAACTTGAACGCACAATTTCTCTAATTTAATCAATATCCTTCCAGCTCTACTGTCTAGTAGACTGGCTATCTGTTTCGTTTTCTCTTTCTCTCTCGTTCAGATTGTGAGCTCTACAACTGAGCTCCGATATGCATACATATACCAGGATCTTTCGATCCTCTGCTTCTCGCAGTTTCATTTGCAGATAGATCTCATCGATCTATCTTCCTGAAGTGCATGGTTGGCCCTGGAGGGCTTTCCCACTTTACTAAACCTATAGACCTTCATCCGTCCATTCATTTGCTCCGTCCCATCGCTCCTTGCATTCGTCTCTTCGACCTAACTTCCTAACCTTTGTAGTTGCATCATCTAGACGACCATTGTCCTCGTTCCTCGTACACCTGGCCATCTGATGATGATCGGATAACCATCTGATTTGAGTCACACATCCCCAATCACGAACCGTGACTGCGGATCCCAAGTCGTCTGTCCGTCATACGAAAATACCTTTCTAACACCCTTCCTGTTTTCACGATGATGGCAGCGACCTCCTTACCAACTCAAACCAATTGCTCCTTGTCTCCTGTCAATTTTGGTGCATGTCTGTCGAGAGTCTCGACGTTGACATTCTTGGTCCCAATGTCGCTCACGTTGTCTTCCGAGCGAACAAAATCAATCTTCACTAGGCCGTCCTGCTGCATTTGGTTCACGTAGTGCCACCTCGTATCCATGTGCCTTGTTCGACTCGCACTTGTCTTGTTCTCTGACATAAAGATAGCACCTAC